AGTAAAATACCAAGGTGTTTTTTATACAAACTGTGATAAAAATTTCCATCCAGCAATTAATTTAAGGAATATTGCCAGTGGAAGAAATGGAATGGAAATGGAATGGAAAAAGTAAACCAACAAAAAACTAAAAGCTGTAGAAATTAGTGATGTGTAAATGTTATCTTTAGATTGAGAAAGAGGTGATCCTGCTGATCTCACTGGAGTTGTTTTAGATATTAAAAATGGTGATATTAATTTGACACAAATTGTGGGGCAATTGATATTTGGGTAGAAAAAAATAGCTTCAAAGGTGTTTCACATGTAGGGTTAACAGCTAGTGAGGTGCCAACTGAAATATTGAGTATTCGAGCATTAGTATGTAAACTTTTTATTGGTCATGGCCTAGGTTTTAAAAGATTTTTTAAAAAAAAGTTTTGCAAATCTTGGTGTGATACTAACATATATTCTTGTTTTAAAAATTTGCATGCATGCAATTCTTCTTGCCATCCAAGTAGTTCATTCAACAATAATTGATGTGTTTTACACTGATTATTGAAAACACCAAGTTTTATAACTAGTTTTCTTTATAATTTTGAAATTATTTTTCATCGTTATAAATAAACATTTGAGTTTATTTATATTGTGATACTAACATATATTCTTGTTTTAAAAATTTGTATGCATGCAATTCTTCTTGCTGTCCAAGTAGTTCATTCAACAATAATTGATGTGTTTTACACTGATTATTGAAAACACCAAGTTTTATAACTAGTTTTCTTTATAATTTTGAAATTATTTTTCATCGTTATAAATAAACATTTGAGTTTATTTATATTGAAAGTTTTATATTTATTCTAATAATTTTTTTCACTTTTTTTAATAGATATTAAAAACAAAAAACACTGATTTTAATCATAGTTTTAATTTTAATTTTAAAAAATTCTGAGAGAAGCACAAACCCAGTGTTGTTGGCCCTAGAAATAATTTTAACATCTCATCCAGATTCGCAAATGCTGAAAGTAGCTAGTAGCTGATTAAGCATTATTTAGTCAGAGCTGTATCTGGCCTTAAAAGTAGTGAAAAATCAATTGCAAGATTCTGTGACATAAAATTAATACTCCCGATTTAAAAATTTTTGTTCTCCTAATAAAGTTTGCTAATTCATTAAATTTAATGATAATTCTCAAAGTTATAAAAAAATAATTGTTATTAAATACTAATATCATATTAGTTTTTTCACCAGAATGGGAAGAGAAAAATAACCTTGAGGGCATCTGTATTATAAGTTTTAATTTGTCCAAAGTAAAACTATGCATTCTTACTTGATTATTTTTTCTTTTGCTATCCAATTTCTGTAGAAGAATGGATGAGTAGAAAATCACCTTAACTGTGAAATTGTCTCTGGGAAAAAACTTCTTGAGTGTTGGGATTTTCCCAGCAATTTTGGGGATTTTCTTGGCAACTTATTTGTAAAATTCATTTTTCTAAATTTGGTCATAATTCTTTGCAATGCTTTCTAACAACAGCAAATGTTATAAAAAAATTAGCAAGAAATAATGTACAAACTAAAAAAATATAAAGTATGTTTTTCGTTTAACATCCACAAATGCTATTTTTTTTAAAGTTTTGCCTAGTTTGGCTGAAAATTAAATTAACTTATCATGGCCGTTTCAAAATATTGGTTTCAAAATCCATTTCAAAACATGGGTTTCAAAATCCATTTTGAAACATGGGGTTCGAAATCCATTTCGAAACATGGGTTTCGAAATCCATTTCAAAACGTGGGTTTCGAAATGGATGGGGACAATTGTCAATTTCTGAAAAAAGTCCTATATATCTAGGATTTTCTTTAAAAAAAAAGTCCTTTAGAAAAAAAGTGGTAAGCATGCATCCCCTTGCTTCACCCTCTCCCATCCCGGTGTTGTCGCCCCTGCTTATCAAGTCTTACTGCAAACTCTATTTCAAGTAGTACCTCTTCTTTGTCAAATAAGTTTATTCAATGTATTGAATATTCTTTTGCATCAGATACTTACAAAACTTTGATTAATGCGAGTATTACTGTAAGTCTTTTAGTTATTGTTTTTCTTTTTTTGTTTGGTAGTTTATATCAACTGAATCAGGTGATTGCATCAACTATAATTTTTTTTACTTACCCCTCGGGCATTTGTTTTTAAAAGTTATTTTCTAAATGTCTTTTAAACATTTTTTAAACAAATGCCTGCTTAGTATCGGCATCAACTAAAATCTTTTTTTTACCTATTAACTATTTTTCTCAACTAACTTTTTTAGAAAAACGCCGCTAAAATATAAGTTTTTATGATTATAACAAACAGGTACTAGAAATATAATTAACAAGGAAAATAGATTCTTTTACTTTACTGCTCGCTTGTATTAAAAGAAATCTATGCACATGAATGCCCACCAGTATAAAAGAAATATATATGTAAAAGAATACTCTTAAAATGAAAGCGGCAATAATATATAATGATTACAATAAAATCAAATATAATTCATAATA